CTAGAATAATGACACAATGGCAGTGGGCGTCAGGGCTATGAATGGAACAACATGAGGGAAAAGTGAGATGCGTTATGGAAGAAAAACCTATATTTGGTCTATAGGAATGAACGGAAATAGCCCTTATCAAAGAGAAGAACACCTTATATAACAACCAGTTTTGTTAAAGTGCTGCACATACCAAGGGAAATAACTTAAATATAACATTATTTTCTATGGTTTATATAAAGTATCACGGCTACAGATGTCACAATATGTGCTACAGAATAGGTAATCTTAAATAAATCAGTTCTTAAATTTACACATGTTTTTGGAAACACCAGAGGCCACAATTAAATGGCATTAACACTCTCCGAGGTCTCAGCTGTTGTCTGAAAATGTTGACAAGGCTTCAGTCTTTACATGTCCTTGTCCTATTTTAGACAAAGAATCAATCAGTCACATTTACTCTATTCTTTTTGCATTCTGCACAAAAAATTGTTGTGGTAAGTGTCTGTTTTCATTATCGTGTTGCTATACCTTGTCTGAGCTGTCAGAGCAATGCCTATAGGGAGTTTTTGCTATCAGAGCTGCCAGGAGTAGATTCTTGTTCATGTAGGTGACGTCTAAAGTGACCACATCTAAGCCATTTTCAGACAAATGTCCAGCAAATAGCGTCCAGACATTTTCCGAAGTTTACCTCTCACATATGAATGATGAAAGATTGTCCATGTCAGACATGTTCACAACCACAAGAAAATCTCCTGAGATTTCAGGAGACGGGTGGGAAGACCATGCATATCTATTCACATACAGCCCCTCTGGGAAATATCAGGACAATGTCCCGAAGTTGTACGTCTGAAAGCAGCTAAAGTGAAACCCCTGCGAGAGGCCAGGAGTTGACAAAAAAAAACAACTGGGCTTTTATTAAACAAAACACAAAGATAATTGAGTAAGCACTCGTTTGTTTTTGTTCCATCTTTGTCACAAATATGGTGAATCCTGTGGTGTTCATCGCACCAAGCTGTGAGCTAACTGACCGTAATGGTGATTAATGTAAAAAGCAAGATGACTGGACATAAACCAAGTTATGAGCCCCCTGAGTATCTCAGATGAGAAAGGTTTTTACATGGGGAGAGGGAGAGATTTTTAAGAAGACACAACATTAGTATTTTTCAGTTGGGAAATTATGCTGTTTCGATCATAACAAACAATTTTTGCTTGGACACGTCAACAAAAACATGACCTCGCTTGCATAAGAGCTCACCGGGGACAGATTCTGTTGATAGTTGTAAATTGACAAGATCCAATTCACAAAAGGGAGCATAGCTAGAACATACCCTGCAGAGACTCTTGACACAATAACAACACCATAAATACATTACCTCCAAATAGCAATTTAATGTCTAGATGGTGACACGTCCTCCCACCGTCTCCGCTCACTTTATCTTTCAGTCTCTATCTGTCACCTTAGTGCTCATTCACTTATAACCCTCCAATCATTCAGTTTTTGTCCTTGGCCTTAAATTTCAAAAGCAAGAGTAGGAAAAGATTTTTATTTAAAAACTAAAGACTATTTTAAGTTTTTGGTCTTCCATCCCTCCATCCATTCATTATCTATACCATTTATCCTTTAAGTGTCGTGAGGGGGCCTGAGCCAATCTCAAGCTGCAATTGGGATTTTTATCTCAAAAATCCAATCATTGTTAATCAATACATTGTTGATCAATTTGTGGTGGTTTTGCTGAATTATTTCCATGACTTTGATCCTCCTGTTGCATCCAAATTACTTCCCCTCGCACATTCCCTCATCTCTGGGGACCAATCCAACCTGTGCTGGTTATTAGGTGAGCAGCCGAGTGGAGCACGGGGGCCGACACCTTAGATGACCCGCCCCATCAGCCAATCAATGCATGTGTCACTCGGAACAAAGAGCCTCGGTGGCCGGCCAGATTGGGCCATTAAGGAAGGAACTTGGAAAGGACCCTAATCGAACTTGACCAAGCGGGGAAGAATGTTTTCCCATCACTCTGCTCGTCTTTCTGTGTGTGACCTTCGCTCACTTACTCAGTCTGGAAGTGTGGGTCACCTGTGAACATATGTGCACACAGTTGTTTGCCTCTAGCTGGTGGAAATTATGAGATTTGGGTGGCCTTGTTTTGTTTTGTTTGTGTCCAAGAACCAAGGAACCAAACATTACATGTAAAATGACCAATTCCTAGCAATCTGGATGTTGGATGGGTTTTTATTAGACCTGAACAACATGGATACCACAAAACAATATATATATATTTATTGATTTGTAGTGATGTGTCTCTGAAAGACTTGTATTGGCCAATATCAGCTGCCAAACGAATAATTGGTCAGGCTCTAAATTTTATGTAAGAGAAACTGCCTAAAACACCTGGAGTGTGTTGCAGTTTAAATCAATTGAAATACTCTCTGTCTGGGTCTACCTCACACTATTAAGTTTAGAGAGGCACTGATCCAACTTGTTCAGATACTCAAGATATCTGCCTGAGCACTCCGTGCAGATTTAATATCTGTAAATCTCCCTTGCTGGTCAGATGCTTGCTGATGCTGCAGTAGCTGTCCACAGTTCTTCAGACTTTGCTTTGTAAAATAAGTAAGTAAGTAAAAATGCAACATTGCTGCATCCATGCTTTGCTTTGCGGTAGCTTAACACATCAAAATGAGCTCAAAGTATTAAATGAGGGTACAAAGCACGTTCGGCTGTATTTAATACTCAAGCTCAGTTTGTCAGAAGCAGGTTTGCATCATGAAAGCTGTTGTGGCAAAGAGGAAACTATCTGGAGGAGCGGAGGATGAAACTACTCTATAGTGAGGAGCAATGCAGTGTAGATGGAAGAAGAAAGAGTGCTGCATGATACTGCGATTTTGTTCCAGGCGCGATGTGTTCCTCTGACAGCTGAGAACATCTAAATTTAGACACACCCCTCGTCTCCCCTTCTTCTTCTCCTCCTCCTCAGTGCCTCCCAGCCTCCTCATCCACACTTTCCCCTCCATTGTGCTCTCCTCATCACCACAAACACAGAGACATGAAAGCCCCCGTGGTGAAAATATCGACAGCTCAGCTCAGCCTGCGTCAGACAAGTGTCAGCTGTGCCTGAGTGAGCCAGGTTCTGTGTGTGTGTGTGTGTTTGTGTGTGAGTGTGTGTGTGTGTGTACTGAAGCAACAGCTATCTAAAACAGGTAGATGCCAAAAACAGGTAATGATACAGGATTATTATTTAGGAGAGCGTGTGCATGTGAAGGACAGAGTGTGTCTCTCTGTGTACACTGCATATTATTAGACCCCGTTCAGACCTGGTATTAACATCAGTCCTGAGTGATCTGATCATAAGTTCAGGTCTGAACACACCCAAGTGCATCATGTGATCCAATCACTCAAACCACATTCAGATGCTTCTCAGTTATCATTCGTTACATTTGTATATTTCTATATTCCTCTAGGCACTCTCTTCTTTCACCCATCCCAGGATGGACTACAGTCAGGATGACTGATGACTTAACATCTTAAAACTATCTCTGTTTCAAATGTATTTTTTAAGGCTCAACTATTTTATGTCCAAAGCTTCGAGCATAAGAAACTGTCAAACAGTGAAAGTCTGCATTGGATGCTTTGTTGTATTTTAAGACTCATTCAAGACTTTATTATAAAAGGCAACTTTGCTATTTCGCCACTCTTTTATTCAGGCACAGTTCTTGAGCTGTGTATTGTGTTAGTACAACATTACAGTCTGATGCATTAATTTGAAAGATTGAAGATTTTTATTTGGGGTCAAAATAGGATTAAAAATTCCCTATTTATATATATATATGTATATGATTTTATGTTTTTTTTTCTTTTTTGGGATATTCAACATGGCTGACTGATTTCTTTGGCTGGCACTTCTTTAAATACACATTCTACAGTTCTACAACTCAACTTAATCCCTGGGTTTAAAGTTGTAAAAGTCTGTCAGCCATTCCTAAATGGTACCAGTCTTGAATTAAAAAGAAATTAAACCGGGAGCCAGCTACATAGAGTCAAAATATCTTGTTAAAGGTTTTCACAGAATAAAGACAGTACGGCCAAAAAGTTAGCGGAGCGGCACTGTTCTGACAAGGTTACAGTTCAGTGTACTGGAAGGAGAAACAAACTGTGCTGAGAGGATGTGGAGCGACAAAAGACAAGGTTTTTAAGATATTTAAGTGCATTGAAATAAGTCGCATCCCCTACCCGTCAGCCTTAACCAAGCCTCTGTGTGTGTCGAGTTTCTCCCTCTATAAGACTGAGGTGTTTTTTGAATGCCGCTGAGGTGCATTTTCTGTTGTAGCTGCAGTGTCTGTAATTATACCCCACAGGAGACATATTGGAACGTACTGCCACTATCATTGACATACAGTCCCCATGCACACTGGCTGCTGCTGCAGCCACTGTACCAATCCCACTTTAGTGTTCAACACACAAAGAGGCTCACAGCAGTGTTGCAACCTCTTAAAAAAGGACTCATTACAATGATTACAACACAAGAGGTAAAGCCACAGAGAGCTTGTTGACTACAGGTATTATAACTGTGACAGCACACCACCAAAAACACTTTGGTGGAGTGGATTATGTTAATGTTATTATTCATACACTAAAAAAATCACTCCTCTGAACGAGACTTCAACAATATAACTCCAGCAGGAAAGTATTTAATGGGATATTTTGTAATGTTAAAACAAAGATCATTAAATACATCACCTGTTCAAAATCCAGCACTTATTTGGATTAAAATGTGATTTGCAACTTGAAATCTAAAACCATTAAAACCCATAGGATTAGACAAAATCAAAGTGAGTAAAAAACGGATCATGGACTAAACAGACTGTGAGACAGAAGTAATAAAGAGAAGAGAAGAAAAATCAATTTCAGAGTTGACATCCAACAAAAAAAGAAAAGAAAAAGAAATAAATGAAAGTGGGAAAATTTCCGAGTTAACATCCAAAAATAGCTTTTTAAACTGTAAGCTGACCTTGCTGGTTGAGCTGCTGCGTGCTCTTGCTCCACTGCGACAACCCCACGATGGCCACCATCTTGGCTCCCAGACTGGAGCGCCGCTTCTTGTTGCCGGCCAATGACGTGGAGTCCGGGCCTCCGCTGCCGGGACTCTTGTCCAGGCTGTACATGGCCCCCGAGATGCTGGAGGAGCGCACCACGTTCCGGGCTGCCGCGCTCAGCCCGCTGAGGCCGCTCATCCCGCCAGGGCTGGGCACCTCCACAGAGCTGCTGAGCATCATAGTCCCGCTGTAGGACTGAAGGGCCTGGTGGGCTGGGAGGAGGGCAGGCCAGACAATTGTACCGGGGCTGGGGAGAGAGGACGAGAGAGAAAAGACAGTAAAGATGAGGGTGGGAGAACAGACTGGAGATAAAAGACGTCTTGATGAAACACTGTATAATATCTTACAGCTGCAGCAACAGCTTCCCGGGTCCAAAGGACAATGAGTTTCAATTTCAACCACAGTTTGGTTTTCAATTAAATCCATTCACTTATTGCCCACACAGCAGAAACGACTTCCTGCACCATAAAAAGACAAATAACATGTGAAAAGCCCGGAGAAGTCTTTCTGATCCCCAATAGTTTTGCAAAGTGAGTAAACAAAGAACATAAAGGTCAGCAGGCGAGGACAGTGCAGATGGCAGCAGGGTGTTTAAGTGAGTTAAGAAACATCTCTCACACACACACACACACACACACACACACACACACACACACACACACACACACACACANACACACACACACACACACACACACACACACACACACACACACACACACACACACACACACACACACACACACACACACACACACACACAAATGTCAGCGCTGGCCTGCTGTTGAGGGGTGACCCTGTCAGCTGGTCTTTGTCTCATGTGTTTTTTATTCTTATGCTGTGTCTGACCTTAGCACTGACAGATGAGAAACTCTACAGCTCTAATCGCCACTAGGTTGGCTGAATCCAAGGAGAATACCGGTGTGTGTGTTTGTGTGCATCCACCAAACTTTGATAAACTTTGTAATATCTAAGGGACAGACACAGAGGAGGCCACTCTCACTACAGGAGACCAGACAACCAAAGCTTCTTAAAGAATGTCAATCATTGTTAATATTCTTTTTCATGTGACAAAACTAGAATTCACCAACCAGTGCAGTTTCAGTTGAAATAGTTGTTTACCAGACTTATTCCCTCACTCTGACCTTTGACCACTGTCGAGAATCTAATTAGATAAACTTGGAGTCCAAAATATGAGGGACTCCCTAAAGGCAGACTTGAGATGTACTGTATGATGATCAAGAAGCCAAAAACATGGTTTGTGAGGCCATTGTAACCTTGCCCTTTGACTTTTGACCACCCTAATCTAATCAGTTCATTTCTGCATCTAAGTGAGCATTTGAGCTCAATCTGAAAGGATTCTCTTGAGGTGTTCTTGACATAACATGTTCATAAGGCAAACATGGTTTGCAAGGTCCCCATGATCACTTAATCAAGTGAAATTCCCTCAGACAGTTCACATGAATGAAGTGGACGAATGAACAGACAACTCCCAAAATATACTTCCTCCGACCACTGGATGTCACTGGCGCAGAGGCGTGATAAAACTAATTCAGACATTGAACTTCTCTCCTTTCCTTCCCTCCTTATCTTCCCTCATATTTCTCTCATCACTGAGGATAACCGACAGCCCGGGGGTACATGAAATATGTAGATGCACTGTGGCCAACATCATGCTTCCATGCTCCTTTTTAATATTTCTCTTTCTTCACTTCTCCTCTTCAATAGAACTTCTCTCTCTCCACCTGCTTCACTTGGTTCATCGTCACAGCCCCTGTCATCATTTTCACAATCCCACAGAAAGTACAGTCAATGCACTTATTTGCTGCACAAACAATAAGAAACACAGAAAAGGGCCCAATTGGGTCTGGACGATATCTGGACTTTATCTTTCACATTTGAACAATCTCTAGAACCTTCAGGTGAAAGGCGGCATCTGGGTAGAGGATGGTTTGAGGTTCTTTTTTTGTACGGCACATCATCGCACCAAGCTCCTGAATCTCATTGTCCTTCCATGTTGCCATCTTTTTCTGCGTCTTTTTCATATGTGTATTGTTCACTCACTCACTCACGGTGAATTCTTCTTTAATTATTCTGCTGTGTTCTCACATGTGCTCATTCCGATATTCTTCAAGACTTTTTGCAGAGAAAACTCCAGAGAATGTCCAGAGCAACTGATGTTTGCATTCTCATGTATGGCTCCTCTGGATAATGTCAGGAGATTATCTCTAGATCATGGTTCAGGTCGTAATACATACTGCTCAGGTGTTTCACATGCATTGTCGCTCTGACATCATGTGCACGATCAACTAGACTAAAAGTGTACAATCATACCATACCTCTGTGAGGCTGTGGCGTTTTGAGCTAAATGGTAATGCTACTTGAGCTTACAGTGATAATTCTAAAATGCTGATGTTTAAAAACACCACCAGTTTTACATTTCATCCAGAGATAGCATGGAACGATGCACGAATGCATCACGCTACTGAAACACTCAATGCCGAGGATGGAAATCATAAATAATACAAGTACAGTGAAGTTGCCCTTAATACGTCTTTGAAGAGCCAAATGTAAATGTGCTGTGCTTCAGACGTCTCAGTGAATCACCATCACTGTGCTGCTTTGTCACACCACCACAGCCATTTTTATGCTTACTGTTCAAAAGCCCTTTCCCCACCAGCACTTAGTGAAGCAATGCATTCACTCTTACTACAATAACCAAATGCTATTGAGGAATTATGAAGTCAGGAAGCAAAGGGTACATCTTGGCATTTTGTAGGGGGGGGGGGCGGTCATGCTTTGTACAGAGGTGCTGCAGTGACATTTGTTTATAGGCATGAGGGGAAAGACTGGAGGGGAAAAGGGGGATGTTCGGGCTTGAAACCTAAAATTCAGGTGAACCAATGTATCCTTATTTCCTTCCGCTGTCCTATTCCACTTCCTTGCTCTCTCCTCCCTCTCTTTTCTCTTCCAGCCCGTTTGCACTCTCTCTCCAGCTCTCTAGGGGGGCCTCTGTGCTTTGAACACACAGCGAGAAGAGCGGTAGAAAAATGAGGATGGGGGGGGAATAGACGGGAGACATTCAGAATAAAATGTCTGCTTTCAGAGAGGCGCAAGGACAGAGAAGAATGAGGGAGCGGTGAGGAAAGAGGGAAGGAGGAGAGACTTGGGAGGATAGGATGTTTCATAATGAACGGACGCAGAAAAGCACTGCAGGAAGCCGCGGCCTGATCTGTGAGGAATAATGAAGGAGAAGAACATGACAGTGATGACAACTGAGACATGCATCCCAAAAGTGAAGCCAAAGCGGCTTGATTGTCCCCTGGTGTCTGGCTGGAGTATAGGTCATAAATCCCGCCTCCTCATGTTAGCGGAAGGGACATGGGCCAAGAAGTCCAAGTCAAATACAAATTTCTCAAAAACTGTGTCCTTCAATTTTTCTATAGGGAAATTGGTTTTAATTATTTTTTTAATGCTATAAAAAAAAAACGAGGTGAAACTTTATGATTGACAGCTGAGACTGACTCATGATTGGTTGAGCACTTGTATTGATGGGACCACGCTACCGGGGCTCCATGCCGTAATCGCTACTGTCTGTGCAGACTCTGGCTCCAAAATGCCCAAGATGATGGCGTTCGTATCCAGGATATTTTGGCTTCATTTCTGGATAGTGGGAGGAAGTGGAGACGTGTCATCCATCTTTGTATCCAATCTAATGAAATCCAACTTCCTGATCGCAATATTGTTGAGAGTTTTTCACCTGTGAGATTTTCTGAGTAACATGTGACTGAGTCTAACGTCTCATGTGTATGAGCATGGTCCTTCTGAATAATATCTCTGATGGCCCCTCAGCCAAGTTCGACTCTCCACACTCCATATAACGTACTCGTAAACTGATGCAGAGGAGCACAGGAGAGAAAACATTATCTTCCCTTTTCAGTCTGTCCCATAAAGATATGGCTGAGCGATCCATTAATGGCCTTTCTTTAAAGCAGCTCTCTCAAACAGGCCACACCGACACTGCTGGTCTGTTAATTAACCTACAGTTTAGCTGGAAAGTAAAGAAGGAAAGAAACACTGTGGGTGTTGTCAGAACAACATGAAGCCCAGCTCATACATCATTTATAAATCTGATCATAAACAGTGAAGTCTCCTATTCTCATTTTATCTACCTATTTATTGGTTTGACCCATTTCAAATTTGTATTTATCTATTGATTACATTATTTTTTTCAAATTTATTATTTTTACTGTTCGTTTTAGGATCAGTCAATTTTGATGCGTATTTGCCAACAGCCTTTGGCTGGTGCCAAATTTCCCATGTGGGACAGCAGAGAGTGAACTGAGCTGAGTCACAAATAAACAAATAAATAAAAATATATGTCAGCAGTTTTAGGTCTGCAATTTGTCATCGGCCACATGTCATCAGCTATTTAAAAGAATCAGCATTGTATCGTATTAAATGAGATCTCGAGACATGAGGATCAAGTGTTTATCATGAAGTGGCTGTGTGTCCAGAAACATTACCTTACACTGTTTATTTTGGTAACTATTGGTAATGGATCATGATTAATCATTGCCATTCACTCGGTAGACAACATTTTAATACATCACCTCGATTCACGCCTGAGTCGAGTCAGGTAGTCATCATCAAACTAGGCATTTTGTTATTGTCTTGATTGAAGGACACCTAGCAACCGGATTTACATATAGTACCTTTAAGGAGCTGATATTTTTCCAACAGGCCAAGATGTGCTTCTGTCATTTTCTCCGGTAATTTGCATCAAAATCTAAACTACAGGATGCAAAACATGCAATATATGGTACATGTGAAGAAGCAGTGTTTTGAAAATGATCAATAAAAGCTGAAAAACTCGATGGTAGATCTCTCTGAAGAAAAGGTGTCCGAACGACAAAGGGACAGGTTTGAAAAGATCAAATTAATGAGGTTATCACAGTTCATAGGTCTAGGATATTTACATTCTAATAACAGATCCTGTTTTTACATTTTACATTAAAGAAATACATGAAAAACAATCCCACCGGCAGTGTGCAAGGACAGACAGGAGATGTAATGCACTTCCTGCTGAGGCTACCATGGAAACATCCCAGGTTACGACATTGTGTGTGTCTGCCCAGCGCCTGCTGCATTGTGTTTGGCCTGGTGTTGTTGTGTATATGTGCATGTGTGTGTGTATGCGTGTCGGATGCTTCTCTCTGATCATAAGGGGGGCTCTGAAGTGAGAAAACAGACGGTGGGTTTTGCCACTATGCCGCACACACAGAGGACAGTGAGAATGCCAGGCTGTGGGATGACTGAGAGCCAAATGGATCACACATACAAAATCCCACACAGCGAAACCCACCGTAGTGCAAACACACATATGCCGCACTGAATGTACGTGCCAGAGTGTGGC